CTCCCCAAAACACTTAAACGGGTCACATCTTTGTATGGATCCCACGGTTGACATTGGTACATGGTCAAGGCAGCAAACAGGAACGATCGTGTTTAAAAAAATAACAAATTGCGAATTGGATTTGCAACTTAACCCATTGCGGCTTTCTGCTTGTCTAAGAAAAATCAATTCCTTCCTATCTATCTATCTATCTATCTATCTATCTATCTATCTATCTATCTATCTATCTATCTAAATCATTGCATATCTCTCTCTATCTTTCTGTCTTCCTCAACTCTCTCTATTTCTCTCTTTCTATCTATATATAAATATATATATATATATGTATGTATATATATATATAAATATATATATATATATATATATATATATATATATATATATATATGTGTGTGTGTATATTATTTAATATTTATCAGCCTTTGCATATCTCTCTTTCCCACCTTCTCTCTATCTTCCTCCACTCTCTCTATCTTTCTCCCCTCTCTCTATTTCTCAATATGTATATATATATATATATATATATATATATATATATATATATATATATATATATATATATATATATATATATATATATATATATATATATATATATATATATATGTGTGTGTGTGTGGGGGGTGTGTGTTATTTCATATCTGTCAGTCATTGCAGAGCTCTCCCTCCATCCTCTCTCATTCTCTGTATATATATATTTATATATATTTCTTTTCATATTTATCTATCTCAGTCTTTACATCTCTCTCTCCTATATATATATATATACATACGTACATATATACTTACATACATACACACATATATATATATATATATATATATATATATATATATATATATATATATATATACACGCCCCTATTATGGTGCAGCGGTAGGCGAATACTAAAACCGGTTTAGTCTCTTGACAGATAGAAATGTTCATGGCTGAAGCTGTCTCTGATACTGGAGTCAAGTCTCCGATTATTTTTTAATATCGATTCTTTGCGCATTTTAATGGTGAGATTTACTGTTTTCACGCAACAAATATTCAGCAATCATATTGAACAACCAGCTTCACCGTTATTCGAAATTTCTAAAATCTTTCGCTAAAAAAACTTCAAGAAAACAGTCTTTTCATGACCACGAACCCTCATCTCTTTCTCGTATTGATGGGAGGATCCTTCTTGACTTTCTGTTTAAGATAGTGTGGAAATTTGATTCTGTCTTTATAGTATAGTTAGTTATTCTAGTTGGCTAGAAGGATCTAAAACTTGGGACCAAAACCGGCTTGGTGAGTTTGATACTTTCCTACCTTTGTTAGGGGGTGTGTGTTCAAGATCAGGAAAAGCTAGAATTTTGATTAATGATTTTCAAACCAAAGTAGTTCCTCTCAGTATTGGAACAGCATTTCTCTTGTCTTTCATTTTGGCTTCATCAACTTCCAGTTCGTTCATGTGCCGTTCTAAGCTAACGCTAGGAATCATATTTGGCGTATTTCTACGAAGATGCGATTTAGTGTGTAGGAATTGTGTTCCTACACTAAAAAAAAAGGATTCGATCGTTAGCATTTTTTATCTACTTCAGAGGCAACGGATTTCATTTATGAAGAAAGTTTGTTGTTCTTCTTACAGGTAAAACGACATCGACGAAAGGAATATACAAGGTGATTGAAAATAACTTCCTATTTTATGCATGAGTGGCTTTTTTTCTTTGGAATTGGTTAAAGGAGCAAGCCTACTATACCAAAGATTTTGGAAGAACTTGAAGAGTAAATACAAGAAGTTATGCCTTCCATACCACAAGAATTCCTGGTGAAATCAGTTGACGCGATTCCTGGACAGCTCGACGAAATCCAGTGCCCATATCGAATTTTAAATAAAACCTCATACTAAACGCTTTCCTTTTATATCCATTTCTTGTAAAAATTATAGTTAATAAATAAATTATAAGTATTTTAAAATGGGGAGTTACTTTTCAATCACCCTGTATTTAGTGGAATTTATGAGTGAGTTCTCTATTTTTTTAGTTGTTTTTCCTCAATCCCCGATCTTTTTAATCATCTATCGAATGTTCAAGTCCTTCAGTAATTGAAATATTTGAATATCTTACCTTTTTTTGATGGTGATCTTTTGCAGTCGAAGTTTTTTTTTTTTTTTAAAATACGGAGAACTAGCTTTCAGGTTGTGCGTATGTAAAAATGCAGAGAAGAATCTTGCAAGCGTTTGGTCGCTTTTTACCTCGAAAGCAATAAAAGCCATGGAATATGACTTTTGAACAAGTGAGTTTCAAAACTGATACTTTATTATTAAAAAAATATGAAAAAAAGTGGCCTGTGGCCTTTGTTGAAAACAATTAATTTGAAACCATAATTTTCAGAATTTGATTTTAAAACTTGCTGTAACTGTCATTGAATAACGAATGGGAAGCGTTTTATGAGTTTTCTTCCAAATGACATTTATTTGACGTTTCTGTCTGTCTGTCTGTCTATCTATCTATCTATCTATCTATCTATCTATCTATCTATCAGTGCATCTATCTATATATCTATCTATAAATAACATGAATATAGATAAGAATATAACTGATATATATATACATACATACATACATACATACATACATATATATATATATATATATATATATATATATATATATATACATTTAAAGATATCTTTGTAGGTACAAAATTTAATGATCGAAATAAAAGTATAAAATTTAATATTACAAGACATATTAAAACAATATTAAAAAAAAAAAAAAAACAACAAGGGGAAGCAACCGGTTTCGCTCCCGCTCTTCAGGCTTCCACGGGAGATTAAAGAGATTGTGCTGCCAAATTTAGTGTTGACTGGTTCACCGTGTTGGCCCGGTCACACTCTGTATTTCATCTGAAGGTTCTGGAGGCGCTTTACATCGGGTCCCGCAAGCCTTCTTTGTGCAAACAACTGGGACTCGCTGTCATCTGCCTCTAATTCCTTCTTTTTATATACAAATATATATATATATATATATATATATATATATATATATATATATATATATATATATTCCCCCTATTCTTATTGTACATTTCTCTGTTTTAATTTTGAATCTCCCGTGGAAGCCTGAAGAGCGGAGCGAAACCGGTTGCTTCCCCCCCTTGTTGTTTTTTTTTTATTATTTAATATTGTTTTAATATGTCTTGTAATATTAAATTTTATACTTTTATTTCGATATATATATATATATATATATATATGATAAAAATACAGTTTTTAAGGTATTCTATATTTATGGATTAAAGTGCTCAATATCAGGGATAGAGTGTATGTAAATATAAAAGTAGACATTGAAGTCAATACCCAGTTGACGCTGGTTGTTGACTTCTATTTCATATATATATATATATACTGGGTTCGATGGCTAAATTACGCAAAAAATGTAAATAACATTCACATCTCATTTTAACACATAAATTTAACAAGATTATACAAAAATATCTTGAAATACTAAAGAGCAAATTTATTTAATAAAATCGCGATTAGTTTCAACCACGAACTCTAGACGACTTCAGAATCTCCTGCAACTCATCTTGACTGTCTCCTTGTTTAAGTTGGTGAATACTGCCATAATCACTGCCTTCAGTTCATCTTTGTTGTTAGAAGTTATTTTATTGGTCACTCGCTCAACTGCACCCCAGACATAATAATCAAGGGGGTTGAAGACTGGGGTGTTAGGTTGCCAGATATAAGGGGTGATGCTGTCACAGAAATTGTCTGAGAGTCATGACTGGGTCCTCCTGCTTGTGTGGCATGGTAGAGAATCCTGTTGCCAGACATAGGATCTTCCAGTAGCCACCCTCTTGACCAGTGCAGAACTACATCCTCAAGACACTAGAGGAAGTAGTTCTCTCCGTTATGAGTTTGATGCTCTCACCGACAATGTTCAGGGTGAGTTTTCCGAGCTGCCGTACTTTTGTAATCACCATTAGACTCATCCAACTCTTTCCCAATCATCTGCACTGTCCTCAGATTGACGCTCTAACACCCTGAAATGTTCGTATTGGAACTTCTAGTAAATGCTAAGCAGTACAGCATGCCGTTTCCAAATTTCTGGCGGAGAAATTGCGTCATACTGCTCCTTTTTGCACAGACAGTGCCCAACTGATCCTACTATACAAAATAAAAAACAAACAAACAACGCGCATGCGCAAAATTAAAAATATAAAATGGCGACAGTTTACACATCGCATCCTGTGTGTGTGTGTATATATATATATATATATATATATATATATATATATATATATATATATATAGGAAGCGGTAGATAGATATATAGATATAAATAGACTGAGATATAACCATATAAACAGACTGAGATAGATACTAGAGATTACTAGAAAGAATGAATAGATTGAAACGGATAGATAGGTAGGTAGATAGATACATAGATAGATAGATAGATAGATATGAATAGAGATATATATGAATGGTCTGTGTACGATAGATAAATACGAACAGTCTGAGATTGATTTATTGATAGATGTTAAAACTGAGATGATATAAACTGACTGATAATATATATATATATATATATATATATATATATATATATGTGTGTGTGTGTGTGTGTGTATAATAGCCATTAATGTATTATATAGATACAAGTACAACAATGTACTAACAGCTAACGTCCATAGGAAGAGTGTATAGCTCCAATCTGTTTAAGGAATGGTCGGCCTGTCATAATCTGCATTTAATATTCTGTCTTTTTTTCACTTCTGCTTGAATACAGGCGACATTCACCAAAAGTAAACATGAAATTGGCACAACCACTTAGGAAACGATAGATATTGAAGCATGACCATAAAACAGCGTCCATTTGTCATTTCATGACAAATACAGCAGGTATTTAAAATCATGACAGGCAGATGATTTCCTTTCGAAAGATTGGTGCAAAATATTTGTCCTATTGGTGTTAGTTGTAACCTTTTATTACCTTTGTGTAATTGTAAAATCTATAACATCTTTATGACTAATCCGTCTGCAACTATTCATTTCCATCACTATCTATCTATCTATCTATCTATCTATCTATCTATCTATCTATCTATGCCAGTCAATCACTCAATCTATCTATCAATCTATCTATCTCATTCTGTTTCTATCTATCTATCTATCTATCTATCTATCTATCTATCTATCTATCTATCTATGCCAGTCGATCGATCAATGTTTCTATTTATCAATCTATCTCATTCTATCTATCTATCTATCTATCTATCTATCTATCTATCTATCTATCTATCTATCTAAGTTTGTTCATATGTATTAGGTATCACCATAAATTTTTTTAACATTTCGACAAGAATCTGAGAAAACGAAAAAGTTATCAATAAGGAGAGAGGACAATAAAAGAACAAGAATTAGAAAGGCAGAATATAATACAAATAAAGCCTATCTATCTATCTATCTATCTATCTATCTATCTATCTATCTATCTATCTATCTACTGTTGTTCGTTATTTATCCATATATATGTATGCATGTATGTAGCTATCTTGTTCCGTTCATTATCTATCTATCTATCTATCTATCTATCTATCTCATCATGTTTATATTTATTTATCAATCTGAGTTCATTATCTCTCTCTCTCTCTCTCTCTCTCTCTCTCTCTCTCTCTATCTATCTATGCTTGTTTATCTATCTCTATCTGGATATATTCTTCTTTTTTAAAAGCTCAGATCATTCAATAAGTGGATGTGGTATAATCAGTTACTTTTTAGTCTGAAACAAGACCACACTAATTGGGTACCAAGTGAAGATTTGACTAACCATAGTTGCATTTTTGTATGAAATAAATTTGTTCTCATTTTCAGTGGTAAAAACCTAAGCAAATGTTTTTGACAGCGTTGGCTTTTCCAGATTTATGAGGGGCGCTTTCAAAGTAGATTTATAGCATGTTATCATGAAACAATCTGTATTTGTTATTAATCGCTAATTGTTATATAAATAGAGAAGTTTTTAATGAACACTTCTCAGCGTCGACTGGACATCACTTATTTCGCGGGAGCGTATTTGAACATGATTGATACTTTAACAAAAACTTCTGTTTACTTGAACCGTAACTCCTGTCCTCCACTAAATGTCACTAAGAACTATTTCGACTCGAAACACCAGAATTTCGACGAAACCCAACTGCCGATCATTTATGCTCATTAGTTCTCAGCTGAAAAGAAGCGACGGTGGGTGAAATCACAGTCTGCTATCCAATAAATAGTGATTTTCCAAGCGTAGCTTAGATGCGGCACAAGGCCGAACGTAGGGGGCACCCAGTGAGGATCGAACTCACTATTCAGTCGTAATTGTTCTAGTGAGACAAGCTTGCTAACCATTACACCACCTCGAGGTGCCCAAGAGTAATTTGTATTTATTAAACCCCCACGAGGTCAGGTTGTGACACAAGGTCGGTTTAAAGTGGGGAGCCCGAGCGCGTGCACCAGGGCAAGGAACAGAAATTCCCCGAGCTCCCGCAACCGTCGGTTGCACTGGCCTCGGTGCGTGAACCGATCCTTCTTTCTAGTGCAATGAGAGAGTGCGGCCTCGGGCAGCTGTTCCCCAGGGTCAGGCACCTCTCAGTATAATTTTCCTCAGTTTGACGGAGTCGCCCCTGAGTGCACTCTGTCCAAGGACAGAGACGCAACTGAGAGATGGTAAGTAGATGTGAAATTACTCAAAAAGAGTAATTTACGCCTGCTATCCATAAATAGTATACCGACTACTGTATTGACCTAATGTGTCGAATGTGAAGCAGATATGCTGGTTCAGTTCAATAGGTAACGGCCATTGTGATTGTAGGGTGGGTATTGTGATCGTTTCAAAAGCCAACGAAAGTGACTTTAAAAAGCTTAAAGAATAAAGCCTTAAGTGAAAGTTGGTCTAATTCAAGTCCGATTTAAGGTTTCAAAGTACGGATTAAGCATGTCCTTTTATCTTATATTCACTGTCCATTTTAGACCAGGGTGTTTCAACCTTTTTTTACCCATGGATCACTTTTACTCTTAATTTCTTTGGTGGACCCCCATAATCATTCGATGAAAAAAAAAAAGCTTATTTTATTTTTTATTAATAGATAAGGAATTGTATTTTAGAAATAGTAAATGTATATGCTTTATTTTGAAGTAAAACTAATTTAAGGAAAATAAACTTGTCTGAAGTAAAGGCCTAAAATCTTGTACAATAATAATGTACTTAAAAACATAGAAAAAAGACCAGAAGTGTTTTATAATATCTTATCTACATCAGAGTGAATACTGGACATTATCCTCATAGACGATGAAGAAGCAACTGAGATGTGGATTTACCGATAACTTTAGGGAATATCATGGACTAAACATATGATAAACGCCGATGACGTAATAAAAATAGGAATAATTATTAAATCTATGCTTACAAGAAAGAGTTGGGCACTTCGACCTGGTGTAATGGTTAGCAAGCTTGCTTCGCTAGATCTATTACGACTGAAAAATGAATTCGATCTCCACTGGGTGCTCCACGCTTTCGGCCTTGTGCCACATCTAAGCTACGCTTAGAAAATCATAGGGCACCTCGAGGTGGTGTAATGTTTAGTAAGCTTGTCTTGCTAGAACAATTACGATTGAGTAGTGAGTTCTATTCTCACTGGGTGCCCCATACTTTCGGCCTTCTGCCACATCTAAGCTACCCTTGGAAAATCTCTACTTACTAGAAAGAGTAAACATTTTGAGACACTTAATGGGGAATTGATTAATTGGCTTGTTTTTAAGGATTATCAACCCTTTGTTGGTTATTTAAAGCCAAAACATAATTTGGATTTATAAAAATAAATTCTTTTTTGTGAGTGAATAGTGCATTAATAATTTCAAAAGTCTTACTATTTAGTTCAGTAATATTCAAACCATTTTTACCCAAGGACTCCTTTTACTTGGTGGACTCCCATAACCATTCGATGAAAAAAGCGTATTTTATTTTATACTAATAAATAAATTTAGGAATTGTATTATAGAAACAGTAAATGTATATGCATTATTTTGCAGTTAAACTAATTTAATGAAAATAAACTTGTATTTAATAACTAAATTCTATAAAACATTTATGTACAATAGTAAAATTATTCATGATAAACCATTTTAAAATATGTGAGTAATTAATAATTTTTTTTAAAAAGATTTATTCAATGAGATCCTTGTCGATGATGCTGCTATCGATGGCAATTATAGTCGATTTTCACAATATCGAGTCGTTGACGATATTAATTAATTGATATTAATATATTAATATTTTATTTTTATAATATTTAAAATTAATATTCATTATCAATATATTAAATTAGTTTATATAAGGAATTATAATCTTCATATAATTTTCCTTTATATATATATATATATATATATATATATATATAAAAATATAGTCTTAAGTTGTGCTATATTTATGGGATAAAATGCTCAATATCAGAGATAGAGTGCGTATGTAAATATAAAAGTGAACATATCGAAGTCAAAACTTAGAGGCGACAGTCTGTTTCATATAGATGCAATCGTCAGGCCTGACGATTGCATATTGCATATAACAGACTGTCGCCTTTAAGTTTTGACTTCTATGTTCACTTTTTATATTTATATTTATTTATATATATATATATATATATATATATATGTATGTATGTATGTATATATATATATATATATATATATATGTGTGTGTGTGTGTGCGTGTGTGTAAAACCCTTCCTTTATATATCCTTCTCAGTTTTTATTTAACGTTTACAATAAAAACAGGTAGAGTAAAAGGGACGCTAACTTACATCGCTTGATCTCGTTTTCTGCTAGACGAAATGAAATACAAATGAACTAATACCTCAACAACATGAGAAAAATGACTGATTGATTTGTTTTCTGCGAAGAGGTACATACATTCAGCATCGTCAGTGGCTGGAAATGAGCAAGTAATGCGCATGTGGATACGACCATCTTGACTGACAAGCGCTTGGGAGCAATCGCCCTGATATTGAACAAGACCAGTCATGAATGGATAGGCGTTACAGTACCTTTGAATAAGAACATCGTGATGACGAAGCAGTTGAAAATACACAGGTACCAAAGAACTGTCAAGGAAAATCAAAGAAATATACCAAACAACGACTCAAGTTGTCCATATTAGTGCACTCGGGACTATTTACAGGAATCTTTCTGTCTCGTAGAATACCTTGGGGAGACCTGAAAGCATTGGGAGTGCGCAGGTAACAGCGCTGCTTGGGACGGCTTGTATTTTTGGACCCGGCTCTATAGAATACAAAGCAAGAAACATGACTCACAAACAAAAATAATAATTATAATATTTGATCTGGAGATCATCATGCAGTCTCCTCATTATATTTCACTCCTACTACTCCCCTTGCGTCTTAGTGGCATTATGGCCCTACTTGGGGTGAAATAAATACAAAAAAATCTTATTAATTATATTAATAAGACATGACGTCGCATATAATTTGTAATTTAATAGACCTTGGCGGTCTTTCTCCTTAAAGGACAACATACTCATTGAAGTATTTTTTTGTTTGATGAAATATTCATAGCATTAGTGAATGATTCCGCGCTAAAGATATAATCACAGACATATCCTGCTCTGTATCGCCGGGTTATACCCGCAAGTAGTATTGCAAGGTTTACACAGATACTGCGCCATTTATATATATATATCCACACCTGCCATCACACTACAATCGATCAGGTGAGCAGGTGTAATGAGTTTTATTACCTGTCCTGATAACTAAGGGCAGTAAATAAAAATTAATCTAACACACGCATTTGCACAAATGCCAGGAGTATTTTTCGTTAGTCCCCACGCTGTCACAGCAGGCTTCTTCTACTTTTATGTCCCGTGTCCCTTCAGGACGTAAGCGTTCACGGTCCTTCACATCTTCCTATCCCTTGTAGTTCTTAAGTTTTGGCTTTTATTTCTCTCAAACCCTGATCTGCATCGATTTGCTCCAGCCTATCAAGTACGTTACGCGCTGCTTTCCCCCAATCTGCCCTGTAAGTATCAGATTCTCCAAGCCCCCTTTCCTCATTACGCGACCCAGAAATTTCAACTGCCTCTTCCTGATATTAAGTATAAGTTTCATCTTCGTTTCTATTCTCTTCAAAACCTCGTTGTTGCTCATATGTTAGGTCCAGGGTGTCCTCGGCATCTTTCTGTAGAAATACATTTCTGTTGCTTCAAGAATTTCCATCATCTTTGAAGAGATTCTCCAGCATTCGCTGCCATACGGGAGGACAGATATCATGTAACAGTTCAATATTCTTTTCTTCGTTTCTAACGAAATTTTTCTGTTTCTTAATACTTTGCTTAGCTTTTGAAATGCATCTTTGGCCACTCCAATGCGTCTTCAGATCTCAGTGTCGCACATTCGATCCTCTGAAAGAACAACCTCAGGTATTGGCATTTCTGTACCTGCTTGATTTTTAGTATTCTCGACCTGTGATTTGCATTTGGGGCTCATCATTTTGCTGATAATCAGTCATTGTGACATTTGTAGTTTATGTTTAGGTCAAAGCAAACTAATATACAACCAAAACATTAATCTAAAAAGTAGGCTTGTTTTAAAACACCACGTCGGATCGATAATTCAATACAGATACTTATTATGACACCAACTTTATTCAGAAATAGCTAAACTGTCAGCTGTATATAAACGCTTTCTCAATGTTTAAAATAGCTTTGAGCGAAGGAAGCTTGTAGTTCTTGGTG